CGAAGGCAGTCGCTTAACCAACTGAGCCACCCAGGCACCCAATAACAAAATTTTTTTTAAAACATGGCATATTCTTTGGTTATTCAAACCGAAGATGCTCACGTCACTGACAAACAAGTGAAATCCTGACATGAGTCTCTAGCATTTCGAGTTGTCTTACTTGTTAATATTCACGTGCGAACTACAGGCGCTTGCTGGATTGGGACGGACGGTATGGAACATTCAGGAGCACGACAGGGGATGCAGCCCAGAGGCTCACTTGACGGAGAGGTGGAGAGTCTCTCTGTCGCCGAGGGGCTCCGGGTGCCTGACTGCTCTGAGAGGCAGGGAGCAGACAGCGGGGCCCCCAGCAGCACCCAGAGCTGGCTGGGCCCCTGACCCTGGAAGAACTGGCAGGATAGTCAGGAGGATGGCAGGAAGTGAGCTCTTCTCTCTGTGGGAGTTGGGGATGCGGAATGCTGCCAATATCAAGCTGGGTGACTCTGGGGTTCTTGCTGGGAGGGGCCGTGGAAGGATGGGGTAAGTGACACTGATCCAAGCTGAGCAAGAGGAAGTTGAAGTGAAACCTGTTTTGCAAGTCTGCTGGCCTGGATGTCGGGCAGGCAAAGTGCCGGGCTCGCTTCCCATGTACTAAGCTATGGCTTCTAATTTCCCAGTGTGCAAATTCCAGTGCCCGGAATTCCTGACTGTCTGTGGTTTTGCTATGCAGGTGTGGGCATGCACTGTGGTCTCACGTGGGAAGCACGGCCAAGTTGCAGGGTGAGGAGTAAGAGCAGGGCTCCCCCTGGCCTTGCCATTGCTCTCCTGTTGCCAGGAGCTTGGCTTGGGCACCTCTTGAAAAGGAAACTGCTTCTAGGGTTCACGTGATGAGTGTTTCGACACACAAGGAGACCCTACAGGTAGTGAGGGTCAAGGAGAAAGTGACTCTGGCAAGAGGAAAACTCCTTTTTCAGGGAGCCTCTGACCCTGAAGCCGCACCTGGAGGAGCCGAGTCCACTCAGGAGCCCAGCACATCAGCTCCCAGTGAAAAGCACGCCCCATGTGCTCAGAAGACTGGATGCGCCCCGCCGGCCCTGCTGCTTGACGGTGACCTTGGGCGATCGCATACTGTTACCCGAGCCTCAGTTTCCCTGTCTACGAGACAGGAAGGGTGAAGGCAAAGACCTCTAGGATGCTTCCACAAGCCTGTGGCAATCCTTCACCGGGTGTCAGCTCTCTTTGGCATCAAGGTACTGAACACCGTTCTGGGTTGAACTCCTGGCCTGGGAGGGATTTGAGAGGCCAGGGAGGAAGGCAGGAGACAGGATGAGGAAAAGTACAGTGCTGGAGGAGTGGAACAGAGGTGCTGCGGAGGAGAAAGGAAGAAAGGAGAGGCAAGAGCGGAGTGCGGGCGCAGGGGAAGTCAGGCCGAACAGGTGCCCGATGCTTTGTTCCATTTCCACGTTAGGGCACGTGGCCTCTCAGACGCCCCCACTGCCCCTCCCCTCCAGGTGCTCCAGGCCCTCACCTTGCAGCATCGCCGACGTGGTGTAGTAGTTGAACGGCACGTTCCTCACCAGGTACTCCTCAGCGTCCAGGCTGGCCAGCTTGGTCCCCACCAGCACCGACTTGCCTGTGCCCGCGGTCCCCACCAGCATGACCGGCCGCCGCCGCTCCATGAGCCGCTCCAGGAAGTAGCACACTCGGATGGTCTCGCTCGTGTGCACCAAACAAGCCTGCAGTGAGAACCCGGTTAGCAGGCCAGGGGCCCACGGGAGAAACAGGTTCCTGGCAAAAACATTCTGGACCATTTCAGAGGCAGGGTGGTGCTGGCTCGCTACCTTGGGCAGGAGTGTCTTCCTTCATATGCACGGCAAGACCATTCCATAACCTCGTTCTCCGGGGGAGAGCAGCCCCCCTCTCCTCCCTGCGGCCTCCCTATTGGGCTTGGGAACCTTCTGCCCTGCCGTCTCCCCGCTCTGCCCCCCAGGATGCCAGTGGAGTCTGGTAATCAAGTTACTTAGTCTTTGTGGGGATCTGTGGCTTCCTTGCACCTAGGATTTCCTCTTGAAAGACATGTAGCTGGGGATGACCGGTTCCTGCAAGGCTAAAATGCTGGGACACTGATAGGGGCCGCCACGAAATGTCCTTGGCGCAATTGTACATCCTCGGTCACTCGGCCACACTCACCTGCAGAGGTATCTCGGGGTCAAATTCAAACTGGGGGATGAGCTTGGACCAAGGCTCAAATTTCTTGGTCGCTGGGTCTATGTAGTAGTCAAAGATAGTTCCCTGGGAGGGGAACTTGATCGTCTTGAACTCCGTCAGCCACCACTTGCTGAACTCCGCCCGGTAGTCCACGAGCTGCCAACACAAAGCGGGTCAGGGGGCGAGGCTCTCCAGAGCTTCCAAAGCCTGGACAGGCCGCCCTGGCTTCAGGCAGAAGGTCAGGGTGGGGAAGATGAAATGCTTTGCCCGAAGGAGCAGCTTCTCCGGGAAGGATGGTGCTTCCACGAGGATCAGCCCTGACAAGGCCCAGCGGCCCAGGGGCCAGCCCTGAGCGGGTGATCAGCCCTGACAAGGCTCAGCGGCCCAGGCGCCAGCCCTGAGCAGGTGATCAGCCCTGACAAGGCCCAGCGGCCCAGGCGCCAGCCCTGAGCGGGTGATCAGCCCTGACAAGGCCCAGTGGCACTGCTTGACCACGTGGATTAGCTGCCCCGGCACTGTGCATCTGAGAGTCCTTGAGGGGTGCGGGGAGGGGGGTGTAAGAACACTGGGGGGGGCATGACCACAAGACGGGCAAACGTGGCCAAGAGCTCCCGAAGAGACAGATGGACCCCCATCCTCCCAGACTGCCAAGACTCAGCAATTCCAGGGTGGCAGTCAGGGACAGAATGAATAACATGGTGGCTATTGACATCTGGGGGCACGGGTGGTGGGGTGAGAAGAGCCTCAGTCCCCTCATCTGTAAAATGAGCATCCTAGAAAGAGGACTTCTAAGGTCCCTTCGAGAGCTAAAATTTCTAAAATGTAGGAGCAGCAGAGATAAAGCTATACTGGTCTTGCTGATAGAAGGAATAGGTAGAGACATACAATTTACATGCATACATATTAGATCACGAGGCCCTCAGGATAGGGCTGGGCATCCAGCGGACTCAAATGATCTCATTGTGTCCAAGCTGAAACACACAACATGTATGCACATGCATGCACACACATACGTCCCCCATAACACACCTGCTTACTACTGGCAATAAGCCCATTCTTTGAACAGACAGACCTAGAAAAAATCCCCAAAAGGAAAACCTAAAAAGAGACCCAGATTGGGCATTTTATTTTTTAAGATTTTATTTATTTATTAGAGAGAGAGACAGAGAGAGAGCGAGCACGAGTGGAGAGAGGGGCAAAGGGAGAGGGAGAAGCAGACTCCCCACCGAGCAGGGAGCCTGATGCGGGGCTCAATTCTGGGACTCTGGGATCATGACCTAAGCCGAAGGCAGACGCTTAACCGACTGAGCCACCCAGGGGCCCCTGGATTGGGCACTTTAGGAAATGTTCCTGAAGAGCAGGACAAAGATAGAATTTGAAGGCTGGACAGGTGGGGAAGCTGGATGTGTGGCAGTGAATCTGGACTTGTAGGAAATGGAACTCCTCGTTCTGTTGCCTACTGGATAAGTAGGATTGAATTCTTTTGCTTTATTATTTTTTCGTTTTTTTGAGTGCTTTTTTTTTTTTTAAATTCTTTTGCTTTCAAATGAGAACAGAAACAAGCCCTAAGAGAAGGACAGATTTGTTTGCTGTTCTTTTTCTGATCTGACTTCAGATGAGGGGGTGCTCTACCTTCTCAATATTGGGCTCTGCAATCAGAAGCCTTGGAAAACCTCCCATTTTTAGCTCATGGATAAAATCCTTCAAGACTTTTAACTTCCTAGAAAAAACCTAGTTCTAGATTCCTATGGAAAATCCGAGGCAGAGGCCACCTCTAGAACAAAGGAGGTTTTGTGGATCTTCTCCTTTCCCCACCTCCAATTCCACCTTGAGCCCCTCAGTCAGTGAAACAGCTCCACTATAACTGGACACCCAAGACAAGGTCACCTCTGCTGAATCAACCAGCAGCACTTTCTTTTTTTTTTTTTTCCCTAAAGATTTTATTTATTTATTTGAGAGAGAGAGAATGAGAGACAGAGAGCACGAGAGGGAGGAAGGTCAGAGGGAGAAGCAGACTCCCCGCCGAGCAGGGAGCCCGATGCGGGACTCGATCCCGGCACTCCAGGATCATGACCTGAGCCGAAGGCAGTCGCTTAACCGACTGAGCCACCCAGGCGCCCCCAGCAGCACTTTTCAGTTCCTTAGGTGTCTCTTCAGCAGTGACCTTCATGAAGAGGCCCCTTCGGACACCCCCATCGCCTTTGGATTTGGACAGTCCTGTGGCCCCCGTTCCTGCCCTTTGAACTTGACGACACTGAGGTGCATCTGTATACTGCAGAAGAGTTTGGGCTGTAAAATCGCCTCACCTGATGCTTACCATGCTCCTAGTTACCCTGGCTAGTACAGACGGCTCCTATTTGATATATGAAAAGACAAAAACTGAAAAGGATGGCCTCCAGAAGCACACGGAGGTGCTGCGAGTTGGACTCAGGTGTTTGGTCCCCCGAGCTGGTGCTCTCTGAGACATCACTTGCTTCTGAGAGACCATTTCCCAGGATCCCAGCAAAGTATTTAGTGAGAACCTTCTTTTTTTTTTGGAGCTTCTACTCGGGTATGGGTTGCGTATTGAATTTCTCCTTTGCTTTAATGACAGCCTCACAAACACCAGCACTACCGCTGTTCCTGATGTGAATATTTTGGCCAGCCTCCTGTTTTTCTACTTATGGCACTCTTTCTGGGGTTTGGCTTGAATGCAGCTTGTGTCGGGGTCTTGGGCCTTCCCTGCTGCTAAAAGCTTTCTCCCTTGTCCTCTCCCCATGTGCTAGCATGGCGGCCTATGGCTCCAAGTGCTCCAGAGCCCAGGACACCTGGAGGGATGCTTTCTGCCAGGCTTTTAAAAAGAGTTGAGTGGATTTAAATGTATACTGCGATAGAAAAATTGACCAAGTGTCTTTGTCCTGATCCCCCACTACCTGCTAAGCACCAACATGGGGGAGAAGCCCAGCAGTGGTTGCTATTTGACATGTGAGCCACTGAAAGGTCAGGGCATGCATTTGATGGAAGGCAATAATCTATGCCTTCTGGATCTCGGTATTTCAGTGAGGCCTCGTCCATCCTGCTGGATTCCTTGCCTCAAAGGGGAAATGGAAAGCTGTCAAAGAAACAGTCCATGGAGAAGCTGCAAAGACTGCAAGAGGCAGTGTGAAATTCTCAGATGCCTCACTCCCAGTTTGGGCATCCCCCCGCCCCCGCCCAGCATCTGGCTCTGGCTCTGGAGACGGGGAGAGGTACACGTCCCAGGAACTTGTGAGAGCTGCTTTCTGAATGTGGAGCACCAAAGAGCATGTCAGGGAGGGAAGGGAGGTAGGATGGATGCTAACGCCCAGGGCCTGTGAAAACGGACAAGAAATTAATTGTTTCATTCTAAATTCATTCTCCCGGCTCACTGCCATTTTGGATTCTAGAACATGGCTTTGCCCTGGGAGGCTGAAACTTTCTACCTCTCTCCTCGAAAGAGCCTTCAATCAACCCAGACCAGAAAGAGTAAATCCTAACTCTCCATGCACTGCAGCTTGGTTTGATCCCTTGCGATGAGGGGGGTGCCAAGTACTTGCTATGAAACTGAGTATTTCTGGCACGAGATGACTACTAATAAGGATGTATGTGCACCGGCACAATTTTAAGAGCTTTGCACGCATCTTTCACGGACGATCAGAACAGTATCCCTTCCTGTAATCCTTACCATGGCCTTAGAAACCGGCCACTGCTGTCAGCATCCTCATTGCCTTCGTACACAGGTGGGCGGTAAGGTGGAGAGAGACGAAGCAGTTTGCCCAACATCCCCCAGATACTAAGTGGCAAAGTTACGATTCGAATCCAGAGTCCGTGCCTTCAGCCCGTATGGGACTGCCTGATAGCTGGAGTTGGCTGTCCAAGGCTGGCTTGCCTAACCTTGAATATGATGTTTCCAGATAAAGAACTTTTAATTTGGAGGAAACTAAGCCAAGAAAAAGTGTGGGGAGGGGCGCCTGGGTGGCTCCATCGGTTAAGCCCTTTGCTTGCCCCCTGCTCCCATTCGTGCTCACTCTCTCTCACTCAAATAAATTCACAAAATCTTTTAAAGAAAAGAAAAAGTCTGGGGATGTTGGAAGGGTTAGGGAATAGGGTGCCAAGATATTCCAAGCCAACATCCCTACCCCCATACCTGAGGCTACAGCAGCCAAAACCGTGATATAAACACTGATCTGGTTTATTACCCCTAGATGTCAATTAACCTTTGGTCCACGCTTCTGTGGACAGCTCGGTGTTTCGGGGAATGGAGAAGAGCTGGTTAACTCTGGCCTGGTACAGAGGCATCTGTGCTTGTTATGGAATGCTAAAGGGATTCCTCCCTCTAAAGCTTCTATAACACAGCGTCATTCTATCAAACACACATCACCTTGCAAAGTAGTGGACCTATATCACCGTTTGTTCCGAAAACCTGCAAGTCTCCAAGAAATCAGGATATATTACCAACTCCTAAAGCAGTAGCTCAAAATATAGCCAGAGCTCATCTGTCTCGCTCCAAGAGGCCCTTCTCGGGGGGCTGACGTCTTTAGCTGAGCGACGGATGGATAACAAAATAGTTTGATGCCTTCATGTTAATTCTGACATTTAGCTGTCCTCTTTTTCCAAATCTTTGCTGGAAGATCGGTTTTTGCCACTGTGGGCTTGCACGTGTTAACCACGGCACGTCCTCTTACCTGATCCTGGACCATTGCTCCGCCGAAAGCCCAGATGGCAGCAAACACAAAATACAGCTCGTAGGTTTCCTTGGGGCAGTCCGCAGGGATGTCCTCCTCGGCCAGGAGACATTCGAGAAGGTGGCACAGCATCTGGACCATGCTCTGCTCTGGGATCGGAATTATCTTCTTAAATCTGCAAAGAGAGACCCAGATACGCTGTATGACACTGGATTTTCTATCCTGGAAGCCTGTTGGAACCTACTTGGTTTTGGCGGACCTGTGACCCGTCAGGTTCTTTGGGATTGCGTGGGGCTACGTAAGCCTTTACTCTCATCCGTCCCTCACCAAGAAGGGCCCAGAGTGCTCTGAGAAAGTTTTCTCGTCACCTTTCCCTCTGGTACCCTCCCCATCTGTTCCTCCCTTCTCTGAACACTGACTGTCCCTCTCAGTCCTCAGGGGGCGGGGGCTACTGTGACACAACGGGGTAAAATCTCAGTGTCACTCCCTCACAATTTCCTCAAGAGTCAAGCTGGGTGCAGGGCTGAGGCAGGTCCTTCCACTCCAGGTCCCTCAGGACAAACACACGGAAGACATGTTCTCTGGAACCAGAGTCTTACTGGGGGGGAGGGCAGAGTGGGTCCCGACAGATGCTCATTTTACACACTCATGATTTACTTGATGGAGTTCGCCTTCTGAAAATACACCTCACTTTGCCCTGGCCTGGTGCGTGTACTTTTCATATTGGATTTGGAGGTCTGGACCGAAAAGGCAGGTAGCAAGAGATGCGCTGAGGGGCATCTATGCCCGAGGGGGTAGGAGTGTGTGCATGGGTGTGTGCACACACGGGTACTCCCATCCCCCCACGAGTACACACACACGCACATGCACACACACGCTCTCACCCCCCCACGAGTACACACACACGCACATGCACCCACACACTCTCATCCCCCGAGTACACACACATGCACATGCACACACACGCTCTCACCCCCCCAAGTACACACACACACA